ACAATAACAGGCTCAACGACGCGTCATCCCTGTCACTGTCCGACATCCGCGGCGAGGCTCAAATCCGGGAACTCCGTCGTCGCCGCGACGAGGCCGTGTCACGCGACGGGAACCGCGGCGACCTATTCGCTGACGAACTCCGTCGCGAGTCCGACCTGGAAAAGCGTCTCAAGAGCGCCGACATTGTCGACGCAGCAGCTGCGAGACGATCCCGCACGCGGTCATCCAACAACAACGAACATCATCATCCCCGCTACGACGCCAGCATCTCGGACGACGCCAAGATCCTGAGACAGGCGCCTTCAGCTGGTGGCGGCGGCGGCGGCGGTGCGGGGCGGCGCAGGGGCTCCGTCGTGCCCGACAGCTCGGACTTGGCCGCCTTCCGAGCCCCGGATACTGGTGCTGAGCAGGACCTGGACAGTGGGATCTCGAGCAACGTCGGCGGCGGGGGCCGGCGACGCAAAAAGAGCCAGCAAATGCTGGAGAAGAAAAGTGTCTTTACAATCAAGTACGACGATGTGCAGAATAGACACTTCACAGACCTGTCGAAAAATTCCCCGCAACAAACTCTGCTCTCGGTTATATTTCTTTAGTGATATTAAAACAAAATATATATATCTTCAACGGTTTCTAAGTGACAACCCTACCTTGTATCCTTTACCACGAATACAACTTTGACCTGCCTTTTTTGAAGCTCCGTTTTATGGTGTCTCAATTCTCCCGTTCGTCGCGGCGCAAAAGTTACGTGTATCCTGAAAAAAGCGGTTGAGAAAGAGGAAAAAATGGTGATTTTGAAATGTTTTTACTTGTATATGTTTATTCCTTCGGTATGATGTATGCTGTACATTTTCGCTCCAACATTTTTATTTCGCAGCATGCATTATTCCACAATAAGTCTCCTCAAATATTTGGGATCACATCAGGTTAATTTTATGGAATAAATGTATCTCTTTTCCTTCAAGAATAATACTGTAAAATTCGGAGATTTGGTCAGACTTGAAGTTCGGCGCACGGAAGCTAAAATACATGTGTTGAAAAGAAAAGTACGAGTGAACACCTTCAAAAATTAATTGTATTAAATTTTTTTCAGCTTCAAAATACAGATACAGTAATTACTGCGCAGAAGAAAACCACACAAAATCTGATCTTTTCGGCATCAGAAGGAGTCGTTGAAGCAAAGAACAAGAACAATTCTAGCTTTACTGTAGACAAATGATGGGGGGAAATCTCCGAAAAACGAAGCACTAAATTAGTCTTGTTTTCGATTAAAGCTGGATAAATTTGATCGTGAAATGTATTTTTTCTTTTTGTAAAAATGAAAAGCCAAATGCCTTCAAGAAGAGACATCGAACTGTCTTAAATGAAATTTTTTCAATTTTTTCATCAGTGTTGGCAGTGACCGTATCTCAAAACGCTTTCTGGTTGTTGGGCAGATTTTTTCAGCTTTCAGTTTCCCCCCCAAGTCAAGTCGTATGTATGTTGGGAGGTCCGCATGTCGATGAGGTTCCTATGTAAATTTCCGAAGGTCACGAACACGTCTGTAAATGGATTAAACTTGCAGCCAAAAATTGTTCCGCTGTTCGCGCACAAATAATCTCAACCAACGCTAATATGTTGCAGAACGGGGAATGTATTTCCGCACAAATATTACGAACTCTTCTCTCGGGTAAAATAGGGAACGATGATGATGATGTAACCGCGCAGAACATCAACTTCCTTCCCACTCGCAGTGTGTTAGTATTTCTCACGTCGAAAAAATAAAACGGTTCTTCCAAAATGAATCCACCACATAAATTATGCAGATATCGAAGATGAGACAGCCGTACTAGGGTTTGCATATGAAGCCAGCAACGCAAGTAGATTCTCACACAAGACTTGTAAAATTCAGGTTCATCGAGGGTTCATTTCACGGCGTAAATACGTCACTTTTTATTGCATTCATATCCATATCGGGTAGAAAATAATTTTCGCGTCATCTCAGCCTGCCTTCAAATCCATCATTATATTTGCAGGCACTGATTTAGTTCGCGTAAAAAAAAATATATCTCGCCCGAAAAGCAGAAGTTAGCTAATATTGTGTGTACAAAACTCTGTCTATGAAAAGGATCCATTGCAATCGCAAATTCGCGAAAGCAAAAACAAACAAAAAATATATGATCCATCGAAAGGGCCGTTACACGCAAGCGGCTATTTGAATAAAATAGAGCAAAATTTCGCTATTTTTTG